GCGCCAAGCCTCCACTGCGATCAACTCCCATATTCTGGAAAGCAATCAAGGGGGGAACCATGGACGTCACGTAAGTGCCTTGTCTACGTAGATTCATAAACGTTGGAATTTGTAAAATAAAATAATGAGCCAAAAATTCTGAATAAATATTCAGTAAAGTAGATGTTGATAAAGGAAGTGTACTTTGATCGACTATTTATGTATTGCATTGAAGTATGTAGTTCAATAAACATCAAATATGAGTTTCCCCCATTCGAAATATATATTATTTTCGGCGAAGACACAGCGACCTTGCTCGCGGCTGTGTAAGAACGCTGTTGACTACGAACACACAAAACCCAAACCAGCCCGGCTCGCCCGCTTGCCTTGTGGTCTCCGACCATACACCTGTGCTGTTAGTGCCGTGGTGATAAGAGGCCGGCTGGGGCGCGGCCGAGCGCGGCGGGGCTGGGGGGGGACTCATTCGGTCTATGGGGCCTATAAAGCAAGCCCCGGCTTTCCATGACTAGCACACACGCAAAGGGGGGGGGGGATGAGAATAGCTGTCCGCTACAGAGACTTGGAATCGTCTGCAAATATAGGAACATTTAAACTACAATAAGATAAATTAACAACAATAAATATGGTTGAATGAACTGTGAATACCGATGGTACCGATACATATATCAGTATATATACACTTTTAGAGTCATGTGCAACCAGACCCGCAGTTCAAAAGATGATAAAGTACACACTACACCGCATGAGGCGTGCAGTCCACAGCACGTAGCGGGAATACCTAAATACTGAACAAACCGAGGCAACTGGGAAACCTAGAAGTGAGACACTCTCACACCTTTTGGCGAGGCACTTGTGCACTACACCTTTTTGTGTGAGGCACCTGTGCGCTACATACACCTTTTGGTATGAGGCACAGTGCGTCTGACACCTTTTGGTGAGAGGTATAGTTCGTCCGAAAGTTGTCAGATGCACTGCACCTCACACCAAAAGGTGTATGACAAAAGTGCCTCACACCAAAAGGTGTGAAAGTGTCTCACACCAAGGTTCCCAGAGCAGTTGACTATTTCTGCTTCTGTCTAAAGGAAGCCCATAACTATATTTTACTACTTTGCTCGACTTTGCTTTGAACCTCTGGACCCGCATAGGCCACAAACACTGCGAGAAACAGAGTGAAAAATATCAGTTGTAGGACTCGTTGTAGAACTTGTTGTAGAGCTCCTTGCGGAAGAAGTCATACAAAAATTTCTGAAACAACACTGGTAAAGCAAGTGTTTAATTTTGCAAGTCAATTGACGTTGAAGTTCAAGTGTGCATTTTCTCGACACTTTGTGGTGTCTAACTATGTTATACGTCAATTGGTGTTTAAACTTTCGACACTTTCGAAACGTATAGCAGCTGCACACCGTATGGTTCCCCATTGACAGCATAGAACTGTGTGTGTGCAAGTGTGCAGAATTTAAACGTTTACAAAACGTCTAAAATTTGCACAGCACGCAAGTGTGCAACCTGAGTTAAACACCATGTAATGTGCTAAATCACAACTTGCACACGTTTGGTGTGCAAATATTGCACACTTGTTTTACCAGTAAACTCCTACAAGGCTACAAGTTCAACAAAAATTTAAAGAAGGGATAGAAATTTAACAAGAAGTTCAGCAAGATTTTCATCAAGAAAGTTAAGCTAATAGTTCATCAAGACTTTCAACAAGAAAGTTTAACTAAAAGTTCAAAACAGCAAGTTCAACAAGTTCGCAACAACCTGTTCATCAAGGAGACTCGTAGCATTCGTTTAGTATTACTTGTAGAAGAAGTCTTACAAACGGTCCCCCAGTGAGAAATGCATCATCAGATCAACGTCATTTTGAGCCACAACGATGTCGACGTCGGTTCGACGTTAATTTGATATTGCGTTTCTCACTGGGCACAAGTTCCACAAGATGTTTAACAGAAAGTTAAGGGGGCAGACCTGTGAAATGTAAGGGTTGGCAAGAATCGTCACTACAAAACAACCACACGCCGCATCGATTTAGGATTAGAAGAGATGTATTAAGAGCATAGATGGACGCTAATTTTGCCGTTGGTGCCAGCACGCACACTCTCCAGGAGCATGCCGATCTTCGCCTTCAACTGGAAAGATGCAGTCCTTCTCGGTGTGCACGATTCTGCTGCAACGGATGGGTTTGTGACGGTCAAAAAAATTGCTAGTTACTCTTAAAAGATGCCGCTAGTGGTTGACCTGGTGGTTTTGCAAATTTCGAAATGGAAGTACTCGAATCAAATTAGAATGGACAAAACAAATTTTTCAATTTTTTCGTATTTTAGCTATATGATTTTTTTCGAGTACTTCCATCTCGAAATTTACGAAACCCCCAGGTCAACCACTAGCGGCATCTTTTTTGAGTTAGTAGTAATTTTGTTGACAGTCGCAAACCAATCCGTTGCAGCAGAATCGTGCACACCAAACAGACTGCATCGTCCAGTCGGAGGTGAAGATGGGCATGTTCCTGGAGAGTGCGCGCACCGGCGCCAACGGCAAAATTAGCGTCCACCTATGCTCTTAAAATACATTTAATCCTAAATTGATGCGGCGTGCAGTTTTTATGTAGTGACTATTTTCCCAAACCCTTCAATTCACAGGTCTGCCCCCTTAACGCGTTAGGAACAAAGGGTCCCAAGTAGAAGAAGTTGTGACACGTTGAACAAGAAGTTCTACAGAAAGCTCAGCAGATTCGACAAAGAAGTTTACCAAGAAGCTCAACAAGTTCAACAAGACGTTCATGAACAAGTTGAACAAGAAGTTCGTTGTCCCACCTAGTTCTTTCTTCTATTCTTTGCACCGAAATTTTTGCAATGAAACTATAGTTCAGCTACAGTTTTTGGGGTGTATTCAGATTGTCCCACCTAATATTTTTCTCCGACCTATGGTGATTTCTTGAAAAGCCTAAAAAGTACTGTCCGACCTAGGATTTGTCCGACATAATTTTCTCTGACCTCGTCGATATGCTGAAATTTAGGAAGAATGTGCTTCAAAGACGAATAGGCTTCAGAGGCCATGAAGGCGCCTATAATGTTTTACCTTCAATAATGTGCGTTTTGATGGCCAGTACTAGTCATGTTGTGCGAAAAAAAAATCCTGCACACTTAGACTGCCGCTATACTGTCGAGCTCGGTTGAGCGGCTAAGGGTGGACATTTGCACTCGGAAGTCTAAGGTTCAACCCCCAGCCCCACCCGGGGCTCAGCCAGCCCACGCTATGGCGATTCTCGGGCAAATGGTAACATAGATGCCCGTGCGTAACGCGATTTGTGACCGACCGACCGACTACTGTTAGAAAAACCTACAGGAAATGTCTACGTTGCACCCTGTCAATTTGTCATCACGTCAGCGACCGTAATTTTGGACTACGGTCTGGCTCGTACATAAAATGTACGCAAGACGGACCGTAAACAAACTGTACTTCCTTGCAGCATTTTTAACAGTGACTGAGAGGTGAGGTGCTACGTTGTTTTGCCATCTCAAGACTCGTCTAGTAATATTTTTTACACCTCTCGATCGTTCGCAAAGTTGCGTTACGTATAGGGACCACCCCTGCCTGGAATTCACTTTTGGCCAGAGCAGTCAGCGTGATTCATTGAACCCACTCAAAATGCACATCCGGCACTGTTAATGAGGCGTGTTATTGTCGCTGGTGGGGTGGGGCGGCACCAGAGGGCGGCACCAGGGGGCGGCACCCTGACCCGCCCGGCCCAGGTCGACGGCCCCGCCTCGCACGATAAAGTCCCGGACGCGATGCAGCGCTGTCGGCCAGGTGCAATCGGGGGGAGGGAGGCACCGGCCTGTCTCCGCCCGCGCGACAGAGCTTGTGCGAGGTCCGGGACGGGGCGAAGACGGGGTGTCGCACCGGCCGGGGTTCGGATTCGGATGCTCGGGAGTTTAGGGGGGTTGCGTACGGCTCCAGCTGCAGTTCTTGTCTAATCGAAAGACAAGTTTGAAGATTTGTGGACCAGAAGACACGCAAGAATGTAGGACTGGATAGAGACACGGGGGGTGAGTGCGGCGGTCGTGCGCCGTGCGGCTATGCTGTACCGGGCGCAGCCAGCGCAGGCGCGCGCGGCGGGCTTGCCTATCGCCGCTGGCCACGGCGGCGAGGCAGCCTGGCTCCACGGCCCTGTATAGGACTCTACGGCCCAGGCCCGGAGCGCAGCGGGGCGGGGGAGGGGGGGACAAATCATGCTATGCGAGGGATTTTGCGAGAAAAGAGAGTTTGAAATCACTAAGGCGCAAAAGGCAAATCTCGGAATATCGTATCGGCCAAAAAGTGACAAGGTGGCTGAGCAAGTAAGGCGTAGTATAGCGTTTCACGGGAAACTCGAGAGCGCGTGTCGTCGCTGCAGCGGAGCGAGCGTGTGGGTGTTTGGCGTCTCAGTTTCGTGACTCAAAGAGGGGGACGTAAGTGTAACTCAAGTTGGGGCCGGCAATTGCGCTGTACGTTCATACGCTGTTTGCAGTTTGGAGGGGGGCGACCTTGCACAGCCGCCCACCTACTGCACTTGGGCTTGGCAGAGGGGGGCCACGCGCGGGCCGCGCCTCATCCTCCTGCAGCAGCTGCAGCAGCAGGTCACGTGGCTGCAGCTGCCGCTCAGGTGCCCGCTGCTGCAGCTGCTGCAGCTGCCGGCTATGATTAGCGAGGCGTGGCCCGGGGGGTCCCCCGCCGCTCCCGGCCCCACCCTCATGTGACATCCAGCGAGGGCGGGGAGGGGGAGGGGCAGGCAGGGGGTGGGTGGCACTGGCGGCAGTTTTCCTCCACAAGGCCACCACAGGATTTCCTCCCGGGCTGGCCCCCAAGCGAGGACGAGCGGCCCCCCCGACGGCAGTCCGAATAGTCTCGCCAATCGCCCGGTCGAATGTGGAGCGAGGCGCCCGCGTCGTAACGCCGCGTGGGCTGCATGCTGCAGCTGTGCGTGCAGGGCGTGCAGCGCGTGCAGCACAACAAACAGGCGGCCGTGCACTCCGTGCAGTGACGCCCCCTGGTGTGTGTGCGCGCGCGCAAGGCCGGCAGCTCGGCGCCGTGCACCAGAGGACGCGGCGGAGCGGCGCCCGGCGGGTCGCAGCAGAGAGGCGCCGGCGCCCGGTGCGACGGATGGGGGGCGAACGACGGCGCGGCCGACATCGAGGAAGCCGACGAACGACCTGCCCGACCGCCGCGAGCCGTCACCGCACCACCCCAGGGGGTCCGACGGGGCGCATCGGTTGGGAGCGGGCCTCCCCTGCCCACCCCGTCGTCTGACCCGTCGCCTTCGTCGCTGAATGGATAGCGACGACTCGTCGTCCTCCTCGTCGGAAGGCGACTACCGCAACTGGGTGGCGCACAGGTCCCCGCCTCCGACCACCCCCGCCGCGCCCGGGGAGCCCGTCCCCGGCACCAGCGGCACCAGCGGTACCAGCGGTACCAGCATGAGCAGCGCCGAGGGCGGAGCCGGCGGAGAGGTGAGCGGGGGCAGGGTACCTTTGGGGGGAGAGGGGGGGGAGAGAGATTGCACGGGGTGGCTGATTGCCCCGTCCATAAACAAACGACCGTAACGGGTTCGTTTAAAAATGACAATGCAGTTATCGCAGAAACATCCCGCAGTTATTGAAGCGAACGTTACGTCCTTTTTTCAGTGGATAAAGTCATATGCACATTGGCATTAGTGAGCGTTCATATCCTAGTTATTGAAACCAATCTTTACGTTCTTTTCGGTGGATAAAGTCATATGCACATATTTATTGAGCGTCCAATCTCAGGAAATGTTCTTCACAGATGAGTTGCACACTTACAGGTGCTCACCTACCGAGTTGAACACTTGCAATTATTGGTGGTTTATCAGTACCAATTCTCATCATTTCAACAGAAAGCATGCACTTTGCATCAGAATCAGAGAGAGACGGTTCTGGAATAGT